ACACCTGTCAGACTGGTTATTATCAATAAATCAAAAAACGAGTGTTGGTGAGAATGTGGAAAAAAGGGAACCTTCATACACTGTTGGTGGGACTGCAAAATGATACAGCTACTAATCCTCAAAAAATTGAAAATAGAACTACCTTTTGACCTTGCAATTGCACTTCTGGGTATGTGTATCCAAAGAAAATCAAAACGCTAATTTGTAAAAATCTATGTGTCCCTATGTTCATGGCAGCGCTATTTATAATAGCCAAGGTATGGAAACAACTTAAATGTCCATCAACGGATGACTGGATAAAGAGGTAGTACATATATACAATGGATTATCACTCAGCCACAAAAAAAAAAAAAAGAAATTCTACCATTTGCAACGACATAGATGGACCTAGAGGGTGTTATGCTGAGTGAAATAAGTCAGAGAATGATAAATATATGATTTCACTTATATGCAGATCCTAAAGAACAAAAGGAACAAACTAAATGAAAACAGACTCACAGATACAGAGGACAATCTGGTGACTGCCAGAGAGGAGGGGTTTGGGGAAGCTGGGTGAAAAAGATGAAAGGATGACAAAGTACAAATTAGTAGTTACAAAAGAGTCATGGGGACGTAGAGTACAGCATAGGGAATATAGTCGATGGTATTGTAATGGCTATGTGTACAGCCAGATGGGTGCTAAAGTAATTGGGGAGATCACTTTATAAACTAAATGTCTAACCATTGTATTGTATACCTGAAACTAATATAAAATAAAAATTAAAGAAAAAGAATTATAGCCTAGAAGGGAGCCAAAAATCAATCTAATGAATAAAATAAAGAACAAGGTCTGTCTATGGCCACACTAACCTGAACAAGCATGATCCCTTCTGATCTTGGAAGCTAAGCAGGGTCAGGCCTGGATAGTACTTGGATGGGAGACCACCTAGGAAGACCAGGTGTTGTAGGCGTAAAAAATAAAAAAATAAGAGATTGTAAGCTGACAAGGTCCTTGCAATCTGTGAGGTCAACCAAGGGTTCCCTCGCCTAAAAAAAAAAAAAAAAAAAAAGAAAAGAAAAAGAACGAGGTCTAAGAAATAACCTAAGAATTCAACAGGTAGATGAGTATTATGGTATAAGGTTAGGAATGTGGGACTAGATACTAAATACTTTTTTCTTTAAAGAGAAGTATATGTGTTCTCTCACAACATTGTTCTATAGAAAATAAACAATTATGTGACCTTTGTACGAAACAAGAATTGTCATCAGGCAATTTACTAAACAAAGTTAAAGTACAAAGGTAAGTGAGGCAATAAGACCGAGGAAAACAGCCTAATCCTGGAGGAAAAGAATTTAAAGCTGTGTTGGTGATCTTGCTGGCACTGTTTTGTGGTTCCCCCAGCAATGTAACATGGTCTCCATGCTCTGATAAAATAGAATTTTTACAAAGAATGGACTGTTAATTTTTCTTGTCTGTGGGCCTTTGATTTACGCTAGTTGACCTTGCAAGGTGATTTAGATGTTATACTCTCTAAAGACAATTTCTGTCTTATTTAATATTTAGAGATGAAAATAGGTGGCATATTGTTTTAAACTGTCAAATAAGTGTGAGAGTAACCAGCAGCCTATGGGCCAAGTATTCAACCAAGTATTTATGGAGAATCTCCTAATTATTCTCTGAGTCAAAAGAGAGACCAGAATAAACAGAAGCTGATTTCTTAGTTGGTGGCCTTCATATGTTTACTAAAAACATTTTAAAACTGAGGAGATCTGAAGTATAGATGAGAGTAAATGAATGCTTCAATATTAATTGAGATCAGAAATTTACACAGAATACTTGCTTAAACAAAATATTTTCCACAAAATCTATTAAGTATTCAAATTTTCTAACTCTTGTCTTTTAAGATTCTGACGCATATATTATATTTAATGTAACCCCCCCAAAAATACTCTGAAGTCATACATCAAAGTAAAAATTCTAATTTCAAATTATAATCATTTGAAATGTATAATTCGAATACATTAAATTCTCAGTGTAAGAATTTTTAAAGCATTATTTATTTCCTTTCAGAAATGTCCTTTCTGATGACAGGTTAGAAGAGTATAAAATAAAACTTTAAATTTAGATTCCCATTACACGCATTACCATCTTACATATGTGCGGAATGGAGACGTCATTATTTCTTCGTCATGTGCAATTCCGGTGCGAACAGTGATATTTTTAGTTAAAACACCTGACATTAAGGAAGAATTATGAAACTAGAGGTCTCAGTGTAAAAAAAAAGCCAGTACAAATTCACCTAAGTTAGATGTTTTATAATTTTACCTTTGAGAGGACAGAAGTAGCAATGGAACAATCACTTTATTCAGGGAAGATGAAATGCAGAAAATAAATATCTTATTGGTATTTTTCCTGTTTAAAAGCTAGATGCTAATTTTATAAAATATACCAATAAATACCTATAAATATATATCAGTTTATATAGCTCAAGGGAAAAAAAGGTTTATAAATCACGCTCCTCTTTAATACTAACAATTTAAACCCATTTTAAAGAAAAACCAAAATTTTTAAGACCCAATATTAAAACCTAGTCTCTGGAAACATTTTCATATTCTATAAACTTAGCAAAAAGCTGGACTTTACTCAAAATGTAATTTTTTATTTTGTCAACTAAGTTTAAATCCAAACTCTGATTCTACCAGAGCGAATCAAGTAACATTATAGGGTCTGTTTCCTTATCCTTTCAATGGTGATGATAGTACCTCCTCATTGCTACAGGAATGATTAAATAACAGATATAGAGTCCCAAGTCCAGTGCTGAGTACAGAGTAGTTGCTCGATCAATGATAAATATCACTCTTAAGTCAAAGAATGGACATCTGCATGAACTCCCTCTTCTACGTCAAATTCTTTTGTGTCAATAGTCTTAGATGTGAGGATATAAATTTTGATATAGATTCTTAAAAAGACATATTGCTTTCGTTCCCTTCTTGGGGAGTCAATAGTTATAATTGCAGAGTTTAGTGTTTTTATAAACACCTTGGTCTTAATATTTCATTATATATAATTTCAAGACCATTACCTTTTTTTTTCCTCCCCTCTCTAATCCTCCCGCCCCCGCCCCGCCACCCACCCAACTTCCACCCCGATGTATGGATGTTGCTATTTCCCCTTAAGAACTAGATCTCTGAAGATGGGGCGTCTCCTCCCACATGCTCTGTGTGCACCCAGGGCCACCCTGGGGCCTGGAGCACCCGGGGTATGGGTATGGTCCATGGCTTCACCTAGGGTGCAAACCCAGGACCTTCTGCGTGTAAAGCAGATGCGCTAACCACTACACTAGGGAGCCACCCCCAAGACTATTTTAAACAAATGAATTTAATGAATAAGTCTGCAGTGGGTCTGAAATTTAATCCAACAGTTACATACTTGTCAATATTTCTTGAATCTGTTCTTTAAAAACGTTATAAACTTTTGTTTCCTTTTTTCATGTCTCTTCTTTGTCTACCAGTCTTTCCAGGAGAGGACTAAGCAACCCTCCACATAAAACCAAGGATATCGCCTCCATGTTTTTCAGTTCCTAAATAAATGATCCTTTAGGAAATTCCACCTTTTTCTAAACAGAGAAAAAACTGGGCTATTAAAAATAAAAGGTTATAATAAAACAACTCTTCAAGAAATTGAACTTGAGATACTCAATTTACTTAGCTAATTACATTATTATGTAAATCTGCCTATACAGGCATGTATGAAAATCAGGTCATTACATGGTTCTTTCCAGTCTTCTACAGGAGTGCTATCCAAAAGAACTTTGTGTTAATGAAAATGGTTTATATCTGTGATCTCAATAAGGAAGTAACCAGCCAAATAGGGCTACTGAAAAGTTAAGACTAAGAAACTTAATTTTAATTCAATTTAATTTTTAGACTTAAATAACCACGTGTATCTGCTACAATAGATAACACAGCCTCAAAAACTCTCCTGTTCTTTTTCTTTACCATTGTGAGCCTTATCCAGATGCACTTACTGAATTCCTTGTTTTAAACAAGCCTGCTGTTATCTTAAAAATTAAATACTTCGACAGAGTTATAACCTCAAAGACAAAAGAATTACTAAAAAAAAGAATTTTTAAAGCTAGCTTTAAAATCTGCTTTTTGATGAATAATACAATCATTTTAGATTTTCTAATCAGTTTACTAAAAAATAAAAAAAAGAAATAACATACATTTCTGAGTGCTTGGAATTGAAATTTCTAACATATACTTTCTCCTAAACTGTCAGCTACATAATTAGTCCCAGGATAGATGACAGAGTAATAAAAACAAGTACAGTGCGAACCACAGCAAGACCAAGTGGAATTAAGAGAACAAATTAAAATCATTCTGTATCCATCTATTCGATGTGATAAAACAGAAATTAATGAATAGAAATTTGATAGATCAAATGCAACAATACAATGTGTTTGTCAATGAAGAGTTGTATAATTTTACCTATAGTATTATTTACCATATCACCAAAGGCAAGTCTCACCTTAATTTTAAGGGATTTTTAGATGACTGCTAACAGTTCTTTCCAATTAAATCTAAGCATACACATTATTTGAAAGTAAAATTATTAAAAAGGTAGCCCTAAGATCCCAGAAAAAAAATTTATATGTTTTAAGTTCCCCTCTATTTCTCCTTTCCAGTTTCGCCACAGATAAATACACAGTCTTTTTTAAATTGGTGTTAAGAAAAACAACTATGATGCTTATCTGTTAGAAATTAAATAATCGCCTCTCTCTGGGACTGGTATTAATGTCATCACTGCCAATCAATTCCTCCTTTCTCTTGCCTATCAACTTGGCTTTCAGTACCTTGTAGGCGGGGATGTGGGGTAGGCAGGTGGAACATGTGAAACAACTTCAGTATTCAGGAACTGGATTCAAAAGAATTCAAGTTATATGAATGCAAGTTATATACCAATTTCTGAATGACTGCTGTTTTTGTTGTTTGTCATCTGAGTAAACAATGAAACTTACTATTTTGAGCCAGGGCTTGAAGCAGACAATCCAAGCATCCTTCTAAACTATCTTCAGTTCTGTCCACAGCTGTTATTTTCAGCTTCTTCAAGGTATCACTGAGATTATCTGCTTATAGAAAAAAAAAAGAAGAAATCAGAAACCTCACTAACAATATGGCCATCACGTCACATGACAAACATCACTTACAAAGGGCTCTCATAGTGAATGAGCTTCCACATACATTCCAAAATGGCAATGGACTGTACTATCACACATTTTTTAAATAAAATTTTATCCATTAAACTCAGATATGAAATATTCAATCTGTATATGTAAGATACGAGAAATATTCCACAGACTGTCACAGAAATCTTTTTCGGCATTCTTATACCTTATTTAGCTTGTTCAGAAAACCAGCCATGGTTAATTGAAAAAAACTAAAGGTCAACAAAAAAAATTAGAAAGCTTTGCAAATAATATTTTGTTTCATTTTATGTTGTCTCTGTTGTATTTTAAATACATAAAATAACGATGAATGTTTAGAAAATTTTCAAAATAATATGACTTTAAAAATACAAAGTCTGATAACTATAAAACATACTTTAACATTGCCATTTGAAAAACACTTCAAAGTACTGCTTTATGCCAAAACATATACATTTTGAATTATAAAGCTAAGCTCTCCTCCTAAATTATACGTGGATTTCTCTAGACCACAGATTATCGAAATCTCTTTATACAATTAAAAATTATTCAGGATCCCATAAGGTTTTTTACACATCAATTATTTCTACTGATATTTAACAAACTAAAAATTAAAACTGAGACTTAAGATTTATTTTAGTAATTCACTTAAATCTAACAATTATAAAACTATTATCTGTTAATATAATTAATATTTTAATGAAAAATAACGACATTTCAAAAACAAAGAAGTTTACTGAAAAGAGTGGTAGTCTACAAATATCCGCAATGTCTGCCTTAGTGTCTGCTTCTTTACTCCATCTTTTGTAATTTATTGTTTTGGCTGAGAATTAAAGAAAATTCAGTCTCATTACACATATACCTAGTTGAAAAACAGGAGAGTATTCTAATTGCGTTTTCAGGTAATCATGAATACTCTTTGATACTACACCAAAAATTAAAAAGTGGTAGTTTTGTAAGGTTAGTTGCCATGTGAAATCTGAAACAATATTAATGAATGTTTCCAACTCAACTTTAAAATCATTGCTCTCTGGTACTTTGTCTCTTTTATGCATGAAAGATATTGATCTTCAACGCATTGGTCATTAAAAAAATTAAGTCAGAGTTATGCATACCTTCCAAATATTGACGTGTTTCATTGTACTATTTCAAAATATCACATTTGTTAATATCATCTCTAATCTTATCAAAAGACTCTTTAAGTACTGGGAAGCAGTCAAGCTCAAAGTAATATAAGTCTCTCAAATTTCAAATTTTTTCTTAAAAACTCCAATTTTATCACCAGCAACAAATACTGTCAGTTGATTTCCTTAAATGACTTAAGTCATTTGTGAGAAATGTCTGCCAAATATGAAAAACCAGTTTGTCTGTCAGTTCTTTCAAATAAAAAAAGGTTATTCCATGAACAAAAAGTACCTTTCAGCTCAACTCAATTGCACAGTGCTTTTCTTCAAAACAACCACAAGATTTTGCAATGTAATAAAGGTGTTTTATATGTGCTTCCCATTTTATCAAATAGAATATTTTTATGTGTACACAAAGGTTGAGATTTTTTTTAATTTTAATATTTTATTCCTCCCTTGAGATTTTTAAAAATATTTTTTCCTGCTTTGTCATATACATTCTTAAGTGAAATTGGTAATTTTTTTTCTTCAAGTATATGATGGTAAAGAATATCATAACTGCTAGTACAGTTTGGTGCTACTAATACCCTGATTCACACACACTAAAGCACTGGCACTTTTTTTTTTACTTACAACTGCTTTTGCACCATCATCACTGCAAATGTCAACATAGTGAAAAAGACAAATGATGTATTGATGGTATTATACAAATGGTTTTGACCTCATGGATACCCTAATAGAGTACCAAGAACCCCCAGGATCTCTGCTTTCCTATTAGAATTTCAAGCATTTTCTTAATTCAAGGTAAGGTATACATTTTAATAACCTTTTATGTATTGTCAATTCATAACAATTCTAAAAATAAAATGGAATTCCCTGTTGTAAAACAAGAAATAATTTACTCTCCATGTCAATTCATGAAAAAGTAGCTTTAAAAATGTACATCAAATAACACTAGCATGCTCTAGTAATACACAGTACAACCTGTGACTAACATAGTAATACTAAACTTACATTTTATTAAAAGTCCCAGGGTATCATTTCACAATCAAAGTTAATATTTATTTCCTTAAGAGGAACTAGAAAGCTTGAAAAATTGATTTTTTTCAAAAGAAAAAACTACACCCGTCCCTTGATTTACACGGATTGTCCATTCCACATCTTTTTTTTACATGTAAGAAAATCACGTAAAAAGAATGCATCAGTACACCAAAAATAAATACTAAAGAAATAGGCCGATATGTCATAAAAATATTTATTTCACTCATTTTCATGAAAAAATGATAAAGAAAATTCAAAAAACCAAAATAAATTTTATTTGCTGTTGGTGTCTGTACTATAATCTAAAGTGATCAACCTTCTTTTTAACTGACACAAAGTCGCTATCTTCACCGCTCGAAATATTTGAAAGTACTACCTAGGTTCCATTATTTATGTTTATGTTTTTGGATGATATTATCCAACCCCACTTTTTGATAAGTTTTCATAAATTCTTTGACATTTACTGCAACATTTAGAAAAATCTTTTTGAAATTTTTAGGCTCATTGGATGTTTGAATCAATATCTAGAATTGCAGTTTCAGTTTTGCGGCCAATTGAAGATCTTTGTAAATATTTTCTGCAGTGAATGAAACTGTTTCAAGGTCACTACTGTATTAATTGGCAAGACGGGCTTCAGATATTAAATGAATTAACTCATCAGTTAATTTGTAATCAACCAGTAATTCGTTAATATCATCTACATTCAAATTGTTAGCACCTTCTTCTTGAAATTTATTTAACAAATTAATAATGCCAGTGAATCCTCTCTTCAGCTATTGGAACCATATTCCTTGGTACAACCATTTCTGGCCATATTGCCTTCCAGCAAGCATTTAAAGTTGACAGCTTTATATCACTCAAAGCTGAAGCAATATTCTTGATACAACTTAAAATTGTGTAATTATTCCAGGCCTCTGTAAGTGATTCATTATTTTCAAGTTTATTAAAAATATCATTAAAATTCTGTTTAATATAATTAATTTTAAAGGTGGAAATAATGCCTTGATCTAAAGGTTGGATCAAGGAAGCTGTATTTGGTGGCAAAGATACAACTTTTTAATTTAATTGTTCTAAATTGTGTATTTCAAAAGGAAGACATTTTTCCTTCATGTAAGTTTCAGCTTCAACAGCAAAACATTTGTAAAACCAACTCTCAAAAACACCAAAGGTCACCCATGCTTTATTTGCCATCCAATGAATGGAAAGACCATTAATAATTGTGTATATTAGGTCTTAGTATGGTGCTAAGTTAAGCTATCATTTTTTTTGAAAGAGTAATCACTAATAATGGAAATGAAAGGACCGTGTATAAAAAGTCCCCATAAACGGGGGAGGAATATTTACCACACATAAAAAAATACCAAGTAAATCAAGGGATAGGTGCATATCCATATGTATCTCTTTTCTTATTAAAAAGAAGTTGTAGGGTATCACATCTCAGATAATACTTGTTTAATCTTATTAAATGGATATTAAGTTGATTTTTCTGAAATAAAGTATAAATAATGTGTAATATCTAAGTTCGCGTTATCAAAAGTAACAGAAAGTAATTATCACAATACCAAGGAAAAAATAATAATTATTTAATGTTAGTCAAATTACAGCAACTATCAAAATCATCAGTCAACAAGTAATACAAACAGTTAAGACTTAATTTAAGTATTGCCTATATTGGCATCTGGATCTTTTACAATTCTTTCCTTTCCTTTATTTCATCCCCAGTGCTCCTTGCTTGCCATCCCCTCATCAAGTCAGCCTAGATGTCACCACCCCAGAGGCCATTGTTGCCCATATTAAGTCTTCTCCTCTTCCTTAACCCTCCCAGGTCATTCTCTTTCACTGCATCCATCCTTCACAGCACCGTTCACAATTTGTAATTATATATATTTTTTGAATTTTAATATATGCTCCCCCACTATACTGTATGGGGCACCTTGTTAGTTCCAGTAGTCTCTCCCTTTCTGTGGTTTTGCTTTTCCCAGTTTCATTTACCCATGGTCAACCACAGTCTAAAAATATTAAATAAAAAAATTCCAAACATAAACCATTTATAAGTTTTAAATTGCACCCATTCTGAAAAACTGATGAAATCTTTCGCCTTTTCAGTTCATTCCACCCCAAACATAATCATCCTTTTGTCCAGCTATCCCAGCTGGATTCTCCAAGCTAGTAGCCATCTTGGTTATCAGGTGAATTGTCATGGTATTGCAGTGCTTGTGTTCAGGTAAACCTTACATTACTTAATAATGGCCCCAAAATGTAAGAGTAGTGATGCTGGCAATTTGTATGTGCCAAAGAGAAGACATAAAGTGCTTTCTTTAAGTGCAAAGGTGAGTACAGTACAATATATTTTGAGAGAGGGCAGGAAGAAGGGAAAAACACCACATTCAAATAACTTTTATTAAGAGTATATTGTTATATTTGTTCTACTTTATTAGTTGTTATTGTTGTACGTGCCTATTACAAATTACAGTTTACTGGAAATATATGTATAGGAAAAAACTTAGTAAACATAGGGTTCAGTACTATCCTTGGTTTTAAGCATCCGCTGGGGGTCTCTGAAACATATCTCCCTCTGATATATGCTATATAGTTACTGCACTATACCTATCACTTGGCACATAAGAGTTATCCAGTAAATATCTGCTAAGTTAACTAAGGGAATAAATTTCTCATTTGCAGAAAGCTGTCAGATTATCACTCTTTGTATCATACAACTAAAGAGCCAAAGTGTGCCCCTAGGGAAAGGAAGGTAAAAGT